AGAATTGATATATCGTTCAACTCTCTGCATTATGACAGTAAACTTGTTCGATGTGGTTGTATAAGAATGCTAGAATCCTACAATATTATAGTAATCCTCATACTAGAGGATATAATTTTGATTTTGTCATCTTTATGGGCTAAAGTTGAACTATTTTCTGGTTTAGCTTTGTCAGGCGTGCGTTGTGGTTTGAGGGATTCATTTCTTTGGTTGTCTTTTTTTACTTTTCCTCTTATTGATCGTTATTATTGAGGATACCTTGTCCAGAATTTTTACAATTGTTTTTCCCTATTAATAAATTTCTTCTTTTATGAGAGAAATTTAAATCAGTTTTTTCGTTTTAATGTATTTGTGCAGTGTTGATGATGGATTTCCAGTTGTAACTTTTCATTTTCAGGGAGAACTTCTTTTGCCGGTTTATCCTCATGATTATCTGTTCGAAGTTCATGTAAGTAAGATGGATTAGTTTTATTGCATAATTTTCTATTTACTCGTTGATTGGACTGCATTTGATTCCCGAAGTGCTTTTACTATAAGGTGGCAAATGTAGCATTCCTTTATCCTGCAGTTAAGTGGTCCTGGGCATTCAGCTGCTGAGCTGACTCTTTAGTCATTGTATATTAATGCATGAGGCGTTTTGTTCTTGTCCTTCTGAAAATATCGTACATTTAAAAAATTTCTGGCTATAATATTTAAGAGATAACCATATGACATAATAGCCATTAGATGGAGGCGGTTAGGAGAGTTGATGAAATGAAAAACAACGGTAAACCTAGAGACACGAAATCACAAGGAATAAGTTAACTAAAAATGGATTTTGAGCCTTCATGGCTTAATTTTAAAAACGAACCATGATAGAGCCCAATGGAAGTAGAGAATCCAAGATTGCAGATCATAGATAAGTATGGCTAATGCTTTGTTGACTTGATGATTGTACAAAACTTCAAATTTTTGCAGGATAATGAGTACTGTATCAGTTGGCAGAGCGGCAAAATGCAGTCGCAAGATGGAAAGGACTTAACTTTGTTAGGAGGTACGTTTCAAGCTCACCTTCTTATATTAAGTTATTTAGATTTTACTTATTTTTGGATAAAGTGTGAAGCTATTATCTTAAAATGATAGTTCTTTATGTATGTCCTATAAGATTTTAATTATGGGAATTTGGGGCTATAAGTTTTGGGTAGTGATACTCAGACTTTCTCAAGTCAGTTCCCATTAGTCAAATTACTCAATTGGACGGTTAAGATAAAATCTTACACTACTGAAATTGGTAAGTTGTGATTTGGCTTCTCTGAGGATCATTTTCCTTATGGACCTTCTGAGAAGAACAATGCATGCATATATGACTTTTTTTAAGATATATAATGTGAGTAACACTTTCAGGAATTCCTTGAGGGCGAGAATTGAATTCTCAGTTGTTGCTTATATAGTTATATTTAACTTCTTTAGACGAGACTAAATTGTCTGAGATGACTTTTCTGTGATGTTTTTGCATTATCTTGTCTTAATGGTCATCCTGCTTAGTATTAATTACTGGACACGCAAGCTATCAAGAACAAGTTGAGGCTTATTTCGTAATTGTCCCAGATTAGAGGGACTAATTGATGAATAAACTGATATTAACATAGTCAAATTTTCTGATTCATTGCAAATGCAGATATTGTACTATCGAACAAGATTGTTTTGTATGACCTCGAAAATCAGACCATTGGATGGACAGAACACAACTGTGAGTATAGTTAGTTATTACATTGCTTTAGCATTTACAATTTGGTTTTATGATTTAATTCTCATTTTCTTGAATTGGTATGTCAAATAATTTCTGTAGAAATCTGTGCTATTGTTATAATCTACTTGAACTTTAGTTTTGTAAAAGTCATCCTGCACAGTTTTTCTTGTGACTATTCACTACTATCTCCTGTCCTTCGCTCCAGACGTGTGAGAATACTTGGGGGATGTTTGGTAGGGAGAGATGGATAATACACAACATTACTAAGAAAGATCAAGAAGCTAAAATCTTGTTTGTTATAGTGTCTAGTCCTGTTTAATACTGAGTACCAAATATGAAAGTGATCGTAGCATTTTGAAATGTGTGCTTCTTTTTTGAAGTTTTCGTAGCGTGAGACTCCTCGTTTGGGTTTGTCTGCATAATTGTTTATTTGCATGAAATCTTTTTCTCTATTATTTTTTGAAAAAAAAAAAAGAAAAGAAAAATCAAAACTATAACCGTCTTGTGAAGTTCTGGGTGTCTTGTTGGTTATGAAGCTTCACTAGACTCAGATTTTGACACATACCGTACCATATAAGATGCTTGATGACCTTCCCTCTGACTTCGGTGACAATGGTGATTATTAATGTTTTGTTCGGCTCCTTATATACCTGCTTCTCCCTGTCCAAACTTCAATCTATATCAGTTTTGGCTCGAGTTCTGTTCTTGGATCAAGTAAACAGTTATTATATATCATAAAAACCTCTAAATCTACCTTTATGCTGGATGAAATTTTCGCGAAAACGAGCTTTCTCTAAGTCATTTTGTTGATACTCTCAGGCTCTTCAAACATCAAGGTGAAAGATGAAGTATCAGGGAATGTTTATTCCGTGAGCGCCCATGATATTACTTCTGCATCCAGTCCGATTAAAGTTAATGTTATACCGATTGTTTTGTTAATATCCATCCTGCTAAATCTGATAGAATAATCTGTTTTACAAGAATCGACTTCACAAAATGATGTTCGTTCTTTATGGCAATAAATGTTCGATGCTGGGCGGTTTCGTTCTTCATAGTAAAGTACAGTTGTTGGAAGCTTTTTGCTGTGTTTCTTGGACACTACATTCTCCTGTCTCATCACAAAGAATGGCTGCTTCTAGCTCCAATATTGTCCCAATGTTGAATGTTTACATTTTGTTCAACTTCTTTTGCCACACAATTTTCTATAGAAGTTGTAATAGAACAAATATATATATATATGAATTTTTCTTTGGTTTTTATGTTAATGTTGATGTATATGACCTTTTATAGGATATGTAACATGTCGTTATTTTTGTTACATCACATTGACAACAATTGAGATTTGGTGGCGAAACAATTGACGTGTTTCCTAAAGAATTTGGACGAGATCAACGGTGGGCGAGTGTGTGTTGTTCCAAATAGTTAGATTTTGAAGTAAACTAGGACCGAATCGAGAATCAATTATTTTCTTGTAATGGAATCATTGGTAATTATGAAATTAAATCAAACCCTAATTGAATGGTTCCAGTTTGGTTCGGTTCCATAACCAAAAAAATTTAAATTATTATGCACATTGGTGTGCAAAGTTGTATCACTAAAAGTTGATACTCACATCCAAAATCAAAATAATAAACCTCATTCAGTGCGAAAAAAAAAATTCCATCTCCATACAAAATAGTCTAATGAAAATCATTCACAAAAATAAAAACTAAACATATTAAATAAAATAATAATTGGGTTAGAATCGATTCTCAGTTGTTAGTTTTGGGTGCTAGAATCGTGACCGACTAAATCCAATCATTTCTTGGTTCTAGGAACCAGATCCAATTAATCTTTTAGCCGAACCGAATATAAGGCCCTGTCTGAGATACATTAATTTTTTCATTCTCATTCTTCTACTCATTCTCAACCACACATTCTTTAATAAAATAATATTTTCCATCACATCAATAACTTTTTCTTCTTTTTCAACCACATATTCTCTATCACATCAACAGTAAAAATACATTATTTTTCCAAAAATGTGCACCAAACGGGGGCATAATCTGTCATTTTGATTTGATTTGATTCAATTCGATTGGTTTCGATTATTTTGCCCACCCTAAACAAGACTCAATAGTATAAAAGGAGAAAAAGCTACAACATTGTAGCAATCATCCATGTTCTGACCTGTAAAACCCCCAAAAATTTCATAGAATATAATTTAATTATTTTAGATGCTAAATTTTATATTTTGAAAAATTGGGGGACTTGAGTGATATATGTATTAATTCAATTTTATTTGGGTCAAATATTTCGATTTTGATAAAGCGATAATAAGTAAATCAATAGCCCGTTAGATAGCTCATATTAATAATTTATTTTAGGCTCATAAAAATTCGATTCGGATAAATCAGCTCCAATATATTGCAATTTGAAGAAATTAAAAAAAAAACTAGTTTTTCAATTGAATTAAAACTTTGAATGTAAATGGAGCAGCCGCAATGGGTACGGAAATGTTTTATTTTTGATTTTGAGTTGTATGGTTAATTGACACATGTTGGGTTGTTGAGGATAGAGTTTTCTTTTTTTATTGGGATAATGATTGTAGTGCATTTATATGGTGGAACACGACACTTATGATTAGGGGTGGGCAAAATTTGATCGAACTCGTTCAAACCGAACCAATTCGACCGATTTGTGTTAGTTTTTTGTTATTTTTATACGGGTTGGGGTGGGTTAGTTGTATAAACGGGTTGGGTTATAGGTTAACTCAGAAAACCGAATAAACCCGTCCAACCTAACCCGCCACTTAAAAAATAAAAAAATAAAAGAAATAAAATGCATAGAAAAGTAAAAGAAACCTAAAAAGTATGAGTAGATAGTATAACTGTAATTATCTTGGTGTATTTTAGAGGAGGAGCTTACTGTTCTTCCCATAAGAACCGAATAAGTTTTTAATGTTATGTTAAATGCAATTTGTTCTTTGTAGGCTCGACTAATGAGAATT